GAGAGCAGTTCAGAGTTAACCACATTAGTGTGAGTCTGGAGTCACATGTAGGCCAGACCAGGTAAAGATGGCAGTTTCCTTCCATAAAGGACATTAGTGACCCAGATGGGTTTTTCTGACAATCGACAATGGATTCACAGTTGTCATTAGATTCTTAATTCCAGATATTTTATTGAATTCAAATTCCAAGTTACTAAGAGTATCTCAAATCTCTCCTAAGGGTATCTCAAATGATAGGAGAGAGACTAAGGCTGGAATAAAGAAGGCTAAGGGGAAGCATGAGGAAAGGATAGGAGCAAATTTCTGCAGATGCTGGAATCTGTATTGAAAACAAAACATGCTGGAAATGACAGCAGGTCAGGCAGCATCCGTTAAGAGAGAGCAACATAACAGTTCGAGTCTGGATGGTAGAACAATGGAGAGAGGACATAGTGCAGAGAGCACAACAAGTAAAGCAAAAAAGGAGCTTTTCTTGTTGCATTCTTTGTGACCTTGTCCTCCCTCCCCTCCCTCCAATCCGATGGGACTATCTGTCCTTTCCGGTTTGGCAGTTAGATACACCATTGTTCTGCTATTCTCACATTCCAATCACTTAATCTGCACCAGCAACACCCTTTCTCCCCCAGCACTCCACCCCCTACCACTATTGCATAAATGCTTCCCCTCCACACTTCACCAGCTCTGCTGAAGAGTCATCCAGACGCAAAATGTTAGCTTGCACTCTCCCCACAATTGAATCAGAGATAGCAGGAACTGCAGATGCTGGAGAATCCGAGACAACAAGGTGCAGAGCTGGATGAACACAGCAGGCCAAGCAGCATTATAGGAGCGGAAAGGCTGACGTTTCGGGCCTAGACCCTTCATCAGAAATGGGGGAGGGGAAGGGGGTTCTGAAATAAATAGGGAGAGAGGGGGAGGCGGATAGAAGATGGATAGAGGAGAGGATAGGTGGAGAGGAAACAGACAGGTCGAAGAGGTGGGGATGGAGCCAGTAAAGGTGAGTGTAGGTGGGGAGTTAGGGAGGGGATAGGTCAGTCCAGGGAGGATGGACAGGTGAAGGGGGCGGGATGAGGTTAGTAGGTAGGAGATGGGGGTGTGGCTTGAGGTGGGAGGAGGGGACAGGTGGGAGGAAGAATAGGTTAGGGAGGCGGGGACAAGCTGGGCTGGTTTTGGGATGCGGTAGGGGGAGGGGAGATTTTGAAGCTTGTGAAATCCACATTGATACCATTGGGCTGCAGGGTTCCCAAGCGGAATATGAGTTGCTGTTCCTGCAACCTTCGGGTGGCATCGTTGTGGCACTGCAGGAACCCCAGGATGGACATGTCGTCTGAGGAATGGGAGGGGGAGTTGAAATGGTTCGCGACTGGGAGGTGCAGTTGTTTATTGCGAACCGAGCATAGGTGTTCTGCAAAGCGGTCCCCGAGCCTCCGCTTGGTTTCCCCGATGTAGAGGAGGCCACAACGGGTACAGCGGATGCAGTATACCACATTAGCAGATGTGCAGATGAACATCTGCTTGATGTGGAAAGTCTTCTTGGGGCCTGGGATGGGGGTGAGGGAGGAGGTATGGGGGCAGGTGTAGCACTTCCTGCGGATGTGTTGGGGCTGGAGGGGAGTGTGGAGCGGACAAGGGAGTCACGGAGAGAGTGGTCCCTCCGGAAAGCAGATAAGGGTGGTGAGGGAAAGATGTCTTTGGTGGTGGGGTCGGATTGCAGATGGCGGAAGTGTCAGAGGATGATGCGTTGGATCTGGAGGTTGGTGGGGTGGTACGTGAGGACGAGGGGGATTCTTTTTTGGTTGTTATTGTGGGGACAGGGTGTGAGGGATGAGTTGCGGGAAATGCGGGAGACACGGTGGAGGGCGTTCTCGACCACTGAGGGGGGGAAATTGCAGTCCTTGAAAAACGAGGACAACTGAGATGTATGGGAGTGGAATGCCTCATCCTGGGAGCAGATGCGGCGGAGGCGAAGGAATTGGGAATAGGGAATGGCATTTTTGCAGGAAGGTGGGTGGGAGGAGGTGTATTCTAGGTAGCTGTGGGAGTCGGTGGGCTTGAAATGGATATCGTTTGCTAGGTGGTTGCCCGAGATGGACACAGAGAGGTCCAGGAAGGAGAGAGAGAGAGGTATTAGAGATGATCCAGGTGAACTTAAGGTTGGGGTGGAAGGTGTTGGTGAAGTGGATGAACTGTTCAAGCTCCTCGTGGGAGCACGAGGCGGCGCTGATACAGTCATCAATGTAACGGAGGAAGAGGTGGGGTTTAGGGCCGGTGTAGGTATGGAAGAGGGATTGTTCCATGTAACCTACAAAGAAGCAGGCATAGCTTGGGCCCATGCGGGTACCCATGGCCACCCCCTTTGTCTGTAGGAAGTGGGAGGAATTGAAAGAGAAGTTGTTGAGGGTGAGGACGAGTTCGGATAAGTGGATGAGGGTGTCAGTGGAGGGGGACTGGTCGAGCCTGCGAGACAGGAAGAAGCGGAGGGCCTTTAGGCCATCTGTATGGGGAATGCAGGTGTATAGGGACTGGACCTCCATGGTAAAGATGAGGTGTTGGGGAATTGGAAGTTCTGGAGGAGGTGGAGGGCGTGGGTGGTGTCACGGACGTAGGTAGGGAGTTCCTGGACCAAGGGGGAGAAAATGGAGTCCAGATGTTGGAGATAAGTTCGGTGGGGCAGGAGCAGGCGGAGACAATGGATCGACCAGGACATTCAGGTTTGTGGATTTTGGGAAGGAGATAGAAGCGGGCGGTGCGGGGTTGGGGAACGATGAGGTTGGAGGCCGTGGGTGGTAGGTCACCTGAGGTGATGAGGTTGTGGATGGTTTGGGAGATGATGGTTTGGTGCTCGGGGGTGGGGTCATGATCAAGGGGGCGGTAGGAGGAGGTGTCGGAGAGTTGGCGTCTGGCCTCGGCGATGTAGAGGTCAATGCGCCATACTACAACTATGCCTCCCTTGTCCACGGGTTTTCTGGTGAGGTTGGGATTGGAGCGGAGGGCTGCACGTTCTGCGCGGGAGAGGTTGGAATGGGTGAGAGGGGTGGAGAGGTTGAGGCGATTGATGTCTCGACGGCAGTTGGAGATGAAGAGGTCAAGGAGGGTAGGAGGCCTTGGGGTGGTGCTTCAAAATCTCCGCTCCCCCTACCGCATCCCAAAACCAGTCCAGCTCGACCCCTCCTCCCTAACCGGTTCTTCCTCCCACCTATCCCCTCCTCCCACCTCAAGCCGCACCCCCATCTCCTACCTACTAACCTCATCCCACCCCCTTGACCTGTCCGTCCTCCCTGGACTGACCTATCCCCTCCCTACCTCCCCACCTACACTCACCTTTACTGGCTCCATCCCCACCTCTTTGACCTGTCTGTTTCCTCTCCACCTATCTTCTCCTCTATCCATCTTCTATCCGCCTCCCCCTCTCTCCCTATTTATTTCAGAACCCCCTTCCTCTCCCCACGATGCTGCCTGACCTGCTGTGATCTCCAGGACTTTTTGTTTTCAGTCATGAGGAAAGAATAGCTGGCTGCACTAAAACAAGTAGTAAAATGTTCTTCAAACATATTGCTTAGCTTCTATCGTTGCAAATGGTGACAATGGACTCGTTGAAAATGTGAGTATTGAGTAACTGAGCAAAATAATTATAAATAAAGTGAGGTGCTGAAAGGGCTGGCAGCACTCCAGGTGCAGAGGTCGCTAGGCCTGAATAGATGCATCCCAGATTGCTGAGAGAGGTAAGGGAGCAAACTGTGGAACTGTTGACAGAAATTTTCCACACCTCTCTAAAAACAGGATTAGTCACATGGGACCAGAGGATTCAAATGTGACGCTGCTGTTGAAGAAAGGGGTAAAGGATAACCAAGAAATTACAGACCTCTCAGCTTGACATCAGTAATCGGAAAACTGATGGAGGCTATGCTATGGGATAGGATAAATATTAAAGGTAAAGACTTAGAGAATAATAACTTAATACTAGACAGTCAACAAGGGCAGGTCATATCTGACAAGTTTCATTGAGTTCTTTGATAAGGTGACACAGACATTAGATCAGGGTAGCGCTGTGGCTGTTGTGTATTTGAACTTTCAGAAAGCATTTGAAATAGTGCCATTTGGCAGGTTAGTTAGCAAATTAAAAATGTTTGGGATTGATGGGTCCTTGGCAGCATGGATTAGAAATTGGTTAAGGTAAGAAACAGAAGGTAGATATAGATGAGCATTTCTCAGTCTGGAGATGAGTTGGAAGTGATATTCCCCAAGGATCAGTGTTTGGACCCTTGCTTTTTCTGATTTATATAAACAATTTGGAGATACTAAGCTGGGGAGAATAGTGAATTGTGAAGGTGATACTGAGTGACTTCAGAGAGACATTGACAAGTGTAGCCAAATGGGCAGACACCTGGCAGATGAAATTCAATGCAGAGAGATGTAAGTTAAAGCACTTTGGTAGAAGAAACATGGAGAGACAATACAGGCTCAGTGGTACAACTTCACTGGGAGTACAGAAGCAGAGGACCCTCAGACTTCACATTCATAATTTACAAAGGCAGCAGGCAAGTTGAAGCAGTTGTTAAGAGTGCTTATAGGTTCCTTAGGTTTATAAATAGTGGCAAGGAAGTGATGCTACAGCTCTACAATCATTGGTCAAACCACATCTGGAACGTGTTCAGTTCAGGCACCTTATTTAAGGAAGGATGTTAAAGCCCTGGAGAGAGGTCAAAGGAGATTTACTGGAATGATTCAGGGATAGTAGGAACTGCAGATGCTGGAGAATCTGAGATAACAAGGTGTGGAGCTGGATGAACACAGCAGGTCAAGCAGCATCAGAGGAGCAGGAAAGCTGACGTTTCGAGTCCAGACCTGAAACGTCAGCTTTCCTGCTCCACTGATGCTGCTTGGCCTGCTGTGTTCATCCAGCTCTACACCGTGTTATCTTTACTAGAATGATGCCAGGAATGAGAGATTTTAGATACAAGGGAAGATTTGAGAAATTGGGCTTGTTTTCCTTGGAGCAGAGAAGATCAAGAGGTGACTTTATTCAGGTGTTCAAAACTATGAACAACTTTTACGGCGTAAGGAAGGGTATCCTGTTTTCACAAGTTGGTACGTCAGTAACTAGAAGTCACAATTTCAAGATGGTCAGCAAGAAGCTGGACGTGAAATGCAGAGAAACTTCTTTACTTAGAGAATTGTTAGTATTTGGAATGTGCTGCCTGGGAGAGTGACAGAGGTGGATTACATAGGAGGTTAAAAAGAGACAGGTGTATATATTTAAAAGTGATGAATTTGAAGAGACACAGAAATAGGGCTGGAGAACGGGACTAGCTGGGTAGTTCTTTTGGGAGCAGGTACTGACATGTTGGGTTGAATGGCCTCTCTCCTGTAAAATTCTATAATTGTATGATTCCAGTGGAAGTGGGGCCCAGCAGTCTTGACTGGTTGGGTTTAGGTCGTACTGTTTGTATTTGGGAATGTTGGAAGGTATTGGAGCAGAGTTGTGTATGTAAGTGAGCTGTTTGGACTCTCAAATAGGTTTTCTGAGGACATTCTAGCACACCACCTAGTCAGACATATACCACTGGGATATTCAAGTAATCAATGAATTGAAGGGAGAGGTTCCATGCCCACACTGCATGTTTCTTCCTGCAGGCCCTATCCTTTAAGCAGGGAAATAATGACCAGGTAAACAACAAGAGTCTGAGGTGGATCTGGCATGACTGGCAAAATACACCCGCATGGATTTTCTAAGATAATTACGATTTTTACATTTGTTTATGAACCAAAGTAACCACAGTTCTGTAGAAGGATCACTGGACTCAAAACATTAACTCTGCTTTCTCTCTATAGATGCTGACAGACCTGCTGAGTTTCTCCAGCAATTTCTGTTTCTGTTAGAGCAGTTGATATTGTGGATCAGTGTTTTTATGCGGCATTGATATGTGATTTTAAAGGATTCTTTTAAAGATTGATGGAAGCATTCTTCTATGTTCTGTTGATGCAGTTCTTTGAGACAGACAGCACTTTGATTTTGTTTCCTAATGGTTGAAATCTGTTTTTATCCCAGGTGCATGCGGTGGAGTTGTCGTGACTGCGGATACCCCAACATTTCTCTTCTCACCAGGTTGGCCCAACAAGTACGAAAACCATTTGGACTGCTCATGGGTCATCCGGGCACCACAAGGCACAGTGGAACTTAACATTCTGGCCCTAGATATTGAACCGAATGCGCTGTGTTTCTACGATAAGTTGGTCATCAGAGATGGTAAAAATTGTTTGTTGTTTTTCATATCATGACCAGATGAGGAGGGGTGAATCAGCTCCCTTCTTTTCAAACCCCTCCGTTCACCTTGATAAAGATTCAAGAATTGTTTTTTTTTGCATGCAGCTGTACCTCATTCTCATGAAAATGCTATTAACTAGTTCACAGAAACAATTGTGGAGCTGAGGTAACAAAGTTTATTTGAGTAAAAGAAAGAGGACTTTTATTACTTGAAGAAAAATGACAAAGTCGCAGCATCAAGCACATATGCAATTACAGATATAAAATTTAAAAGTGATAAAACTCAGCACAATAAGGAAGATGAAAGAATATGCAGTTTGAGATCTTTAGCATGTATTTGAGTTATTATGCTTTAACATGGAATCATGGTTGATTTGAGATGTCCAGGCTCAGTGGCAGCCATCAGTATTGCAGATATCTTCAAGTTCTCAGTGGTCGAATGTTTCTGTCCTGTTCACACTATTAGTGGATGCCTTATACGTTGAGAAATGGAAAGAGAGTCTCTTTGATAAGCTGTTAATAAAAAAACCCTCTTAGCTTCTTATAAAATTTTGTCAAACACAGGAGTGAACTTTACACTGAGGAAACCTTTCATTTTCTCTAGGTAAACACACAGGTAATAAAAATGACCTGCAAAGAAAAATCAAGTTATTAGCTGGTAATAAAGATTCAGTCAAACAACACTAGCAGTACTGTTTGCAGCTATGTACACAAGCCCCTGTCAGGGTGATTCCATTAGCTGCTCATAGCATTCAACCAATTATTTATAATGAGACAAATGAAGAAGTAAATACCTGCTCATCTGTTCAGCCCACTTGTGCCCTTGTTGATACAGTTGTGAGATGGCCTCATCATGAATGCTTGGCAATTTAGCAAATAATTTGTGCCGATTGAAATTTATTATCCATTAGATATAAGCAGCTTTGGAATTGTGACAACCTGAGGCGTAACAACATTGATTGTGACAGGTTTGAGACTCTGACACTGCGATTTGTACTTACCCAAGACTTGCATATCTCTTATCTCTTCAGGGGACAATAGCCATTCTCCAATACTTGCCACTTTATGTGGCAGAAAATTACCTGGACCTGTCCGATCTAGTGGTGATGCAATGTTCATTCGATTCATATCTGATGAGGAGACCAATGGTGGTGGTTTCAATGCTTCTTACTACAAAAGTAAGTTGAATCTCTTAATAGGTTTTATTTTCTTTGAAGTTGAATACTACTGAAAGATAAATATATCAAAGCTTTTTGTCTTGAATTTATCAAAATGCAAAAATATCAAATTTCAAATTGTCATAACAATTTATACTAGTGGAGGAAACATTCTCATTCAATCACACGTGCGCTCTCTCTGCCTCATATACTTTCACTCACATCTTTCCATCACACATTCATACTCTCCTGTGTTACACACACTCCCCATTTCACACACTCATACTCCCTCATTCACATAGTCTTTCTCACTCAGTCATGCACACTTTCTCATTCACTCATTCATACACACTCATTCAAGTGCACAATAACCTTCTCTCACTCATGCACTTTTCCTTTCTCCCTTCATCTCCATCTCATTCATAATCTCTTCCTCACTCATTGTCTCACCCTCACTCACACATTCTCTCTCTCTTACTTATACTCTGTCCTTCACACACAAACTCATACTGTCTTTCACTCGTGGCCTGCAGGTTCAGAAGACTGCTGTAGCATTTTCATTGCAGTCTTTCAGAGGCCTCTGCCTGCATAGGAAGGAGAGGCGATGCCTAGTGGTATTATCGCGGTACTGTTAATCCAGAGACCCAGATAATGTTCTTGAGGACCTGGCTTTGAATCCTGCCATGGCAGATGGAGGAATTTGAATTCAATAAATATCTGAAATTAAGAACTGAATGATGACCATGAATCCATTGGTGATTTTCGGGAAAAACTCATCTGGTTCACTAATGTCCCTTAGGGCCAAATGAAACCTGGTGTGTTTGCACAGCTCACTGCTTTTCCAATCAGGGGAGGTTTTCCTCATTTGTTAGATTTTTTTTTCCTTATTCATTCATGGGATGAGGGTGTCACTACCCATCCCGAATTGCTCAGAGTCAACCACGTTGCTGTGGGTCTGGAGTCATATGTAGGCCAGCCCAGGTAAGGATGGCAGTTTCCTTCCCTAAAGGACATTAGTGAACCAGACGGGTTTTTCCCAACAATCAACAATGGATTCATGGTCATCATTCAGTTCTTGATATCAGATATTTATTGAATTCAAATTCCACCACCTGCCATGGTGGGATTCAAAACCAGGTCCTCAAGAACATTATCCATGTCTCTGGATTAACAGTCCCGCGATAATACCACGAGGCCAATACCTCCCCTTGTATAAGAGCATCGCTGGCAAGGCAGCATTTATTGCTGATCCATAATTGCCATTGCGAATGTTTTAGTGAGCTGCATTCTTAAACCATTGTAGTTCTTGTTTTGTCGGGACACCAGAGTGCTTTTAGGAGGGGATTTCCAGGGTTTTGACAGTAAAAGAACAGTGATGTAATACAAAGTCAGGATGGTGAGTGGCTTGGTGGGAACATAGAGGTGGTGGTGTTCACATACACCTGCTGCCCTTGTCCTTCTAGGTAGCAGAGCTCATGGGTTTAGGAGGTGCTATCGAAGGGGCCTTGGTGAGTTGGCTGACTAGTGAACCTTGCAGCAGTAACTGCGGGGGATTGGGGGTAGGGAAGTGGGGATAGAAACAACTCCTGGTTGCAGAATCCTCCACTTATGCTTCCTGTATTTGGAACACCGCTGGTGATAGGATCCCTTGGCTGCCAACATTATCGCCTGCAGGCCACCTGCTGGACGTGTCTGATATAGAAACGTTAAAATGTTATAAACAATTTTTAAAAATATATGTAAACTTATATATTAAATCTAGTAAGTTGAAACTGTAGCATCTAAATTGTTTTGCAGCTCCACTTCTGAGAAGTTGTTCATTTTTTAATCAACAAGTGTCTTGTGTAATATCTGAGATCAACAATGTACTCAATTTTTAGAAATGGAATTGCTACTAGAAGGCATCGTTGTGAGTGGAAGATTTCACGTATGAATGTTTATGTTTCATTTTTCTGTGCTCTATGAAGGAATTAATTTGTTCAAAATAATTGGATTAATTCTTGCATGAAAATTGTTAACAAAGGAGTATCACCAATTAACATTTTCTGCCATAAGTGCCAACCCCACAATTTTGTTAATTATCTATTTTGGCTAGATGCCAATTACTGTTGGCTGCCATGTCAATGGTCTGGAACACTAACGTGCAATTTTTTTTTTCTGTTTAATGTGAATATTTGGATGTGGATTTTAATGCTATGCAATATATGACAAAGACTGCTACTTGGCAAAGATTTGTCCCCAAAGAAAAGTTTTAGATTTTAAAATACTTTTTACATGTTTATACTTGCTGACTTTTATTAGACATTGATATATTTCCTTCCTTTCAGCTTGTGGTGGGCGGCTCAATGCTAACCATGGTGTAATTTTTTCACCTAACTATCCCAACGCATATACATCAAATCTCAATTGCACATGGCTTGTTGCTGTCACCAGTGGTTCCATAATTTCTATCCACTTTAATTGGACCTTCCAAGTTCAAGGTTCTGGCACAAACTGTACAACTGGAGACTACTTAGAGGTATACAATTTTTTCAATTTGCTACAGTCCAAGTTTTGTGAAGTTTAGTCTTTTGATCTTAAATTTAAGAAGGATTAATTAGCATCTATACAGTGCTTTTTTGTGTCTTTTGGATATCCCAAAGCTCTTACCAGTCAGTGATTTACTTTAGAAGTGTAGTCACTGTTATAACGTAGGTAAATGAGATGATAAGTGTTAAGTAACGTTTACACCACATCAAGTGCCAGGCAATGATCATCTCCAATAAGAGACAGCATGCCTAACATCCCTTAACATTCAATTATATTGTGATCACTTTATCCTCCATTATCAATATCTTGAGAAATTGCCAGAAATTTAACGATATGAGCTATACTGACTTTGGATAAGGGAACAAAATGTAACATCCCCAACTTTGCAGATGATACCAAGTTGGGTGGGAGGGTGAACTGTGATGAGGATGCAGAGATCCTTCAACATGATCTGGACAAGTTGGGTGAGTGGGCAAATCAATGGCAGATGCAGTATAATTTGGATAAATGTGAGGTTATTCACTTTGGAAGCAAAACAAGAAGGCAGATTATTGACTGAATGTCTGTAAATTGGGAGAGGGGAGTGTGTAGTGGGACCTGGGCATCCTAGTGCACCAGTCACTGAAGGTAAGCATGTGGGTGCAGCAGGAGGTAAAAAAGGCAAATGGTATGTTGGCCTTCATTGCGAGAGATTTCGAGTACAGGAGCAGGGATGTGTTATTGCAGTTATACAGGGCCTTGGTGAGACCACACCTGGAATATTGTGTGCAGTTTTGGTCTCCTTTTCTGAGGAAGGATACTCTTGCTCTTGAGGGAGTGCAGCAAAGGTTTACCAGGCTAATTCCGGGGATGGCAGGTCTGAAATATGAGGAGAGATTGACTAGGTTGGGATTGTTTTCGCTGGAGTTCAGATGAATGAGGGGGATCTTGGGGTGAATGGGATCAAAGGTTATAGGGAGAAAGCAGGATTGGGCTATTGATTTGGACGATCAGCCATGTTTGTGAAGAATGGCGAAGCAGGCTCGAAGGGCCGAATGATCTCCTCCTGCTGCTATCTTCTATGAAATGCTCTGATAACAAGAGCAGGTAAGAGGCTGGAAAGAGCTCTGTGATGATTTGCCAATTGATCGCAAAGCTGAAACTCTATACTTTGCAACATGATCTTTTTGCCCTGGCCTTCTCAGAGCTTATTCAAATGCAGGAAATGCATCTTTCCTAGCCTTCTGCAAGAAGGCAGGACTGTGTTGATGAGTCACTGATGTTTTGATGAAATGTCAAGAAAAGATCAGCAAAGAGGTATCAAATAAATATCAATTTCTTCCATCTAACTTTCACAGTGATAAGTGGATTTAGATCATTATTATGCTATTCTTCCTGCACCACCTCTAATCTCATCTTCCTCTCTAAAGTTCATGAACATGTTTTTGCCTCCCATGTTGATCATTCCCAGGAGCCTGTTTTGGAACATCACCGGTATGGTACCAGTCTGTCCTGCCACAGTACCCAAATGGCTGTTACTGAAGTCACATCCTACATGTGTGAGTCATGTAATATGTTGCTTCTCCTCATGGTTTTTGGTAGGACTACAACTTCCAAGATGATTGATAGAACATCTTCTCCCACACCTCTTTGCTGTCACCCAGCATGGTAGGACTGCACTCACCTGGTTAATTCTCATCTCATTGTAGGCAGTCTGCCCATTGCGATGCCTTCATTTCCCACTTATGCATAATTTCCATTGGTATACAAGATGGATCTAACCTGAGCCCACTCCTACTTGTCATCCACATGTTGTCTATTTGGCACCACAATCAAAAACAGTGCCCTTCTCACTACCAGGTCTCTTGCTGCTATATTATCAAATTGTTTGTCTGACATCTTATAGTGGATAAACAGAAATATTCTTCCATTAAAAATGGGGAAGATCAATCCAATTGTCTTCAGATCCCACTCCAAACTGCGTCTTAAAGCCAGCAGTTCCACCCCTATCCATGTTAACCATCTCAATGTCATATTTGACTCTGACATGAACTTTGCCGATATATCCATGCGTCACCTAAGACTGCCTTACCCAAGTAACATCATCAGACTGTTTCCCTGCATCGGCTCAACTGCTGTCAAACCCATATCTATGCCTCTGTTACCTCTAGACTTGACTATTCCAATGCCTTCCCAGTTGGTCCCTCATGTTCAATCCTGTGTATATTTGAAGCTATCCAAAATTCTACCACATCATCTATCACCCCTGTGCTCACCAAACAATATTTGCTGCTGGTCAAACAACCCCTCAATTGTACATATGATGATATGACTTAGAAGCAGGAGAAGGTCATTTGCTGCCTTGAAGCTGCTCTGCCATTCAATAATATTTTATCTGATCTGATCGTGGCCTCAAATCAAAATTCTTGTTTACCCACTGTAACCTTTGACCTCTTTGTTAGCCAAGAATCTATTTACCCCTGCTTTAAGGTTACTCAAGGCTCTGTCTCAACCACTGTCTGAAAAACAGATTTCCAAAGGCTCACGACTCTCTGAGGCAAGAAGTCTCATCTTTTTCTTAAATGCCACCTAGTCATAGTCTCTCCCAAAAGAAGAAACATCCTTTCAACATCCATCATTTCAAGTCCTCAGAATCTTACATGTTTCAAAAAGATCACCTCTCATTCTTCTATAACTTTCATGTATATCTAATTCTGTAGTCTCCTCAGTTCCCACGGTTCTCCAAGATATTTGTAGTGATATAATTCTGGCCTCCTGTGTGAGATAATTTTAATCGCCCCACCATTGGTGGTTGTACTGAAGTGCCAAATGTATCCTGCTGGCTTTCTTCCTTTAAGAATCTCCATAAAAAATGTTCCTCTTTTTCTAAACATTTACAAAATCTGGGATTTTAATGTGGCTCTAAGTCAGGTCTTCTTTCATAACACCATTGTGCAGTGCCTTCGGATGCTTTATTACAAAAATACAAGTTGTTGGGGAAACTTTGAGGATAGCTATCATGTAATCTCATTTTCCTTATGAATGATATAATATTAAGCAGCCTGTTTCTTCATTGGAGCTAAGAGGATAGTTTTGCCAATCTTTTGCCAGGGCTTAGTAAGATTGCCCAGCGATTTTGTATTAATTAGTTCAAGGCATGAGGTTATTGTGCCTATCACTGATTGCCTTTGAGACATTGGTGATGGGTTGTCTTCTCAAACTAGTGTGGTTCACGTGATGAAGGGCTAACCTCAGAGCTGTTGGGAAAGGATTTCCAAGATTTTGACCCAGTGACAGTGAAGGAATGGCAAGATTGATCCAAACCAGGACAATGTGTGGCTTGGAATAGAACATACTGTTGAGCAGCATGGGCAGCTGAGTTGGCAGATTCCAGCCAGCTAGTGGTCATTGTTTTGCAGTTAGCCTCCTTGTAACCAGGGAAACTGCCAGCATGCATTATCAAAGCTCTGTCCTGAGGCAGCTGAACAAAACATTGGAAGGTGAAGAATTTCCAACTGCATGCCATATGGAAAGAAAAAATCTTCATGAGTGTTGTGAATCCCTTTAATTATCGTAACAGATTATAACAAAGTATGTTGAGAATCTTAACCTAAGATTGTGTAAATATAAAACAATTTATACATTAATGAACTGTAGGAAGACACACATCAAATGAAAACCATTAAAATCAGCAAGCAATATTTCATCACCTGAATAGAATTGTGATTGAATAGCCAACTTTGATGTTGTTCACTGAAGCACGAAGCCATTTAATAAATTTGCTTGAAATTTATTGAAGACTGGCTGTCACCTCAAATAAAAAAGGGAGAACTTATGAAGCCAGAACTTGAAAAAGAAATGGAGACAATATGACACACAAATCTTTCAGCCTCTGCATTGTCAGATACCAAGCATATGATGAAAATGCACATCAGGATCCTACGTAAGTCCCAGTGCATGGGCTACAAGTGGGAATATGCCCCAATCACCCACCGTATCACCCTCCAATCCCTAGACTTCACCCCTGAACTCCGACTACTCCCTTAACCATCCAAGTACACTCCAATTGGACCTGACTACCATCCAGGCCCAACAGTGATCAAATGGCTACCCAACTATGATACCACATCCCCAACCTAGCTCAACTACATCCGACCAGTCCTAGCTTCCTCCTGAACCACCAGGTTCTCCACCTTGCTCAACTCTTCCACTATGCCCAGTTTACCCACCTCACACACCTACCCAGAACAGCTTCCAATCTACATTATCCATCTATCCATCCAACTACCTACAGACCTCCTCCCACTACCCACTTGCCTAGTTCACCCATTTCACATTTACCCATTCACTCACAGAATGAAACAATTCTTACAGTGCAGAAGGAGGCCATTTGGCCCATTGTCGCTGTACTGGCTCTCTGAGCATTTTGACATAGTGCCAATCTCCACCTTTTCCATATAATGCGGTTCATTATTTCCTATTCAATCATTCAATGGCCTCTTCAGTGCCTCACTTAAACCCAGCTCCAGTCAGTGCATTCCAGGCACTAATTACACACTGTGAAAAAGACTTTTCTCAATCATCCATCCACTAACCCACACTCAAAGATAGACCTTTAATCTTATCTGAATTTGGCAGCTCGTGCCATAAAAATGGGGCATGTATTCTCTTCCTGACGCTAGTCCTTTCTGATGGAATACTCCAAGGGACATCATGTGTATTTCCTTGACAGCTGGAATCAGGTTTTTCCAGAACAAATGCACAACATGATCAGCATGGGAGACCCTTAGGGAAGCCCATTGCTGCTGCTGAGATATGTCAGACTGATGTGCCTCACAAAACTACTGCTCAGAACAATTTCTTAAATGGTGTTTCATGTAATTCATTTTGGTGGTTCTGGTTCAAGATTTAATAGTTTCCAAATTCTGTTTCTAAAACAAAAAGATTTTTAATTAATTTCTCTAATATTTCTCATGTCATTTCCAATTCTAGTTAAGGAATGGACCTGATGGGTCTTCCCCACCTTTGACCACCCATGGAAGAAATGGACACTATTGTGGCAAAAACCCTCCCTCTACAATGCATACATCAGACAATCAGCTCTTTGTACGATTCATTTCTGATGGAAGTAATGAAGGCCTTGGGTTCAAGTTCACGTATGAAGCTTCAAATTATGGTGAGTGTTTCAGTCCGCATGTGGAGTATGGAAATACTCAGATTTATTTACATTGTGGATGCTCCATACATCATAGCATCAGAACTTTTTCAAATATTTTCAGCTGATGGATTGATCCTAATGTTCTGTTGCATCCTGGAAACAGATACATAGAGTCTTGGAGTCATACAGGTCTACAGCACAAAAATGCCTTTCTGCCCATCAAGTCTGCACCGGTCAAAAAAAAGCACCTAACTATTCTAATCCCATTTTCCAGCACTTGGTCCATAGCCTTGTGTGCCTTGGTATTGCAAGTGCACATCTAAATACTTCCTAAATGTAATGAGAGTTTATGTCTCTACCACCGTTACAGGCACTGAGTTCCAAATTCCCACCACCCTCCAAGTGGAAAAATCTTCCTCACATCCCCTCCAAACCTCCTGTCCCTTACCTTAAATGTATTCCCCTGATTATTGATCCCTCCACAAAGGGATCTTTCCTTCCTGTCTAACGTATCTATGTCCCTCTTCATTTTATATGTCCCAGTCATGTCTCCACTACTGTGAGGAAAACAGCCCCAATCTATCCAAGCTCTCTTCATAACTAAACCAGATGTGAACTAACAGAGCCTGCAAAGCAGAGGAGATCAGCCTGTGTGGTCTGCACTCCAGTAAGATTTTTAGGCAGCTATGGAACAAGAGGTAGAATTCCCATTCAAAATAGTGGACTGTTCCTTAAACATACTCTGATCTCAGTTGATGGTAATGCTGGACAAATCAGATCCCAGAAGTTTTGTACGTTTTTATTTAACACTGAGATCGGTCTTAAACATAGTGACAATGTTGCCAATGTACTTTTAACAAAAGTACGTAAAAGTTTATTGTATACAAGAAATAAAAATGTGAACTATGCCACACTATCCAATAACTATTTTGAAACAGTCTCATTACAAATATCAGTGAGAAAGATTCAACCTTTTACCCCAACATCAACCATTCGGACAGTCAAATCATAGTGAGGGGTCATCCTGTCTCCATGTCTTTTGTTCAATTGGCAGAGCTCTCATTTCTTTTTAGCAAATTAATTCATTCACTCAATGCAGTTTACTTTTGTTAATGTCTTTTCCTGAGACTTTTAAATACACTGCTAACTCCTCTTTCTTTCTTCTTAATATGGATTAATTAAACTCATGACTCCACGGCCTTGCAGGATGATATCCTTTCTGAAAACTGCGCAGCCTTCTGCGTTGGTAGTTTTCTTGTAAGCAGCTGAAGAGGTTTTTTTTTCTTTCTGTCCTGGCTGTTTTGGAGGCTGCCATACTAAGAATACCTCTGCTGTTATAAACCTTTTCTCTGAACGAACCCACATCTGCATCCCTCCCCCTTTCACTTTTGATTGTAAAGCTCAAGGCAGTGAACACCCTCAAAATGATCTTCTTCAGTTGGTTCACTGCTCATTTATCCAAAGTTACATGATTATTTGGAAATAGTAGAGGGGTAGGGTGGGGGAAGTGAATTTCAATTCACTGTTCAAAATTACTTTCCAACCTTGATTTTATAAAAGACGATTTTTGTTCCACGTTGGAACCTAATTTTCCAAATAACAAAAATAACATATTATGACCCTTACTCATAACAGGATATGTAAGTTTCCAGTGTGCTGCCTTGCTAGGTTTTGAAATAAGGTTCAAGAAATCAAGTATCCAGTATTGCTTAGACAAGTTTATTTAAACAGAATTTCAAACTTTAATGTGATTTTTGGACAATGCTAAATATTTGGGAGTAAAATGTTTTCCTAATGGTACTGAAATTTTCCAAAATATTTATAGCACAAAAATAGGTCATTCAGCTTGAGTTTTTGCTCTGCACAAATATCCTGCCATACCTCTTTACTCATCTTATCAAGATAACCTTCTATTCAATTCCCTCTCAAGTGCTTATGTAGCTTCTAAGTCTATCCTTTCAAATCTTTTAAATACCTGCATCAGGTTGACCCTCTGTCTTCTCCTAATTGTATTCCAGCTTGTTCATTCTTTTCTGCTCGGTTTAATTTCTCAGTTCTGGTAACATCTAGTAATTCTTTATTGTATCTTCTTGAATGCCTCAATTGAATCATAAAATACTTTCAACACAGAAGAAAGTCCGTTGTCTTAACATGTCTGTGCTGGCTCTCAGAAGAAGCAATTCACCTGGCGTTACTGATAGAGACAAGCTAACACAAACTAGGAGCAATGGTAGGCCATTTGACCATTCGAGCCAGCTCCTCCATTCAATACTGTCATCCTCAATCCTGTATCTCAATGCTTTCTTCTTGGTTTCTTCCCATAACCCTTGATACTTTTAAAATCTGTAGAAGTATCTATATCTTGAATACATTCAGTGACTTGGCCTCTTCAGCCTTCTGTGGGAGCGAATTTCACAGGTTCACTGCCCGTTGAGTGAAGAAATGTTTCCTCAACTCAGTCCTAAATGGTCTACCCCATACCCTGAGACTGTAATCCTGGTTCTAGGCTCACCAGCCAGGAAAAACACCCTCCTGGCAACTGGTCTATGAAGCCCTGTTAGAATTGTATATATTTCAATCAGATCCCCTCTCAACCTTCTAGATTCTTGCTAATAGAGGCCCAGTCAGACCAATTTCTCCTCATTGGACAGTCCTGACATCCCCTGTATCAGTTCAGAGAACATCTGCTGCACTCATTCTATGACAAATATGTCCTTTCTTAGATTTTTTTTCATCTTCTCCATGTAGTCCTACACATTCTTCTTTTTCGGATAACACTCCAACTTCCTCCTGAGTACCTTGATTGAACCTACCAGCACGTCACTCACAGGTAGTGCATTCCACTTCCTAACCACCCACTGCATAGAAATTATTCTTCCTCATGTTACATTGTTTTTTGCCAAGTACCTTACATCAATGCCATCTGCTTTTAGATCCTCCCACCAATGGGAACAATGTCTCCCTATGTACTCTGTGAAGATCCCACTTGATTTTGAATATTTCTATCAAGTGGCTACTTAATCTTTACTTTTTCAAGGAAAACAGTTTTAATTCCTCGAATCTATCTACATCACTGAAGTTCCTTATCCCTGGGACTATGCTCAGAGATCTATAGTTCTCAACTGCAATTTTGCATTAACCCCAATTACTGGAGGAAAATATAAGCCAAAGTGAGGAAAAATTACTACAAATAAAATCACCATGTTGTCTTATTTACAGATAATTTATGTACTCTAATGAGATGACTTCCTTACAAGCAAGACCTGAATAAATTAATTGTAACAAAGACCGTAAGCAAAGAATGTAAAATAGCTGAGAAGCTGTGACCCTGATTGTGACCTATGCTGTATGACAGGCTTCTATCAAAGTAACAGTTTGACAAACATTAGACTGACAAAAACTATATTGTCTGGAAAAACAGAGAACAGTACGGGTATTGACAAAATAACACTTCAAGCATGAGTGAAATGATGTAACTCAAGAACTGTTTAGAACTCTAGTGGGTAATGGATTGTTCTCCGTCAGTCAAGGACTCTTTTCATTTCACTGAACTCTCCTGTATAATATAATGGGTCAGCCAATAGTGGTTGATGGACAATGGACAACGTTATATGGTGAAGTATTCAGAAATAGCTTTGAAGAAAAATGATGAAAGAATGTCTGAGTGTACCTCTGGGTTCTGGAGAATTTCTGAAGATGATTTCATGGATTAGAGCATAAAGTTCTAGTTAAAAATTTAGTATGATTCAGTGGAGTGGGAATGGCCTGTGGGAGGAGAACACCTCAAACTCATATGGTTGTAAAGAAAATACTAACAAAAATGCATCTCCACAATACAGCTTTTAGATTTTTTTAAAGTGGTGCCTTTTTACTAAAACAGTGAAAGAACATTTAGAACTATTCAAGATAATCTTTCATGTGTAGGCAATTTCTGGCAGGCACTTCATTATGCATAAAATCTCTCCAGTGATAATGCCAGACCGGCTGACTTTCTCTAGCATGTTCAATTTTTATTTTAAAACAGGATGATTTGGATTTTATTTCTTACCGATTTGTTTTTAATAGTTTAATATTTTTATTGGAACATTTCTCTGAACTATATAATTAGGGACACTTACAAATATAGTTCAATACTTCACAAATTATTTAAATGATCAACTTTATTCTTAGATAGTGTTGTTATCCATTTATCTCTTACTAAGAGGTTGCAATTTGAAATCTCTGCAGTGTTTGCATGTTGAACCTGTGAACAGTCTAAGTCTACTGTTGAGTTACCCATTTGTTGATCCTGTGATTGATGCACAGGCAACAGGAAATTATAATGATTTGTTCTTGATTGCTCAAAAAATTCTTCCAAAATTCCATCTGCATTAATTGGAAAGTTTTTGGTTTTAAAAATATCTGTGGATAATTGCAGTTTTTGGGGAAATGTACACCTGCAAAGCTTTCGGAATTCATTTCCAGACTTTTTTTGTTCAGAAAAGCAATATTCATGAATTACTTTATAGCGTGAGGAACCAAGCAAAACTTTTCTTTTGCTTTCATCAGTTGTAAAGCCAATCTCTCCAAACTGTTTTTGACTTAGATTTTTTTCAGTTGAGAGAGATTAAGCGTTTATGGCATGGAAAGGAGGAGATGTAACTTTGGGAAGTTAAATGGGGGAAGGATGGAAGGATGTATGACTGGACATTAAACACTGTAAAGGTTGGGTCAATTCCCTGTTCTGTAGTAGATGTTCCAAGTAATTTTATGTATATCCTTCCATTAGAACATACATAAGAATATATGAAATTGGAGTAGGAGTACACCATTGAGCCCCTGTTTTGTCATTTAGTAGTTATAGATGATTTGATTATGCCTTCAATTCCACTTTCATGGATGCCCCTTTGACTTCCTTGTAAATCAATAACTTGATCAACAACTTGTCTAACCTTATGTACGTCCAAAGATTAATCATCCACCAAGAGGAAAAAAAAAATCTTATCTCTATCTTAAATACATGGCCCTTTATTCTGAAACTATTACCTCTAGTTCTAGATTCCCTTAATGAAATATCCCTGAGCATCTACATTACCAAATGCCCGAAGAATCTTACATATTTCAATAAGATCACCTCTTATTCTTCTAATAACTTTAACCTTCTGATAGCCCCAAACTGTTCAACATTTCCTTATAACTGCTTCATCCGTAGAATATAGTTTGTGAACCTTTTCTGAGCAAATATATCAAACCTTAAATAAGGAGCCCTGCCTTAATGACTCTATTAACTGTGTACTATACTTGAGGTATGGACTCACTAAAGCCCTGATCAGTTGTAACAAAACTTCTCTACTTTCTTATTCCATCCGCCTCACAATAAAAGCTCAAGCCCTCATTTTTGCTCCTGATTTAATGCGCAGGGGCCTAAAAGTCCCAGTTCTATGAACCATGCCTTTAAAAATGGCTTCCTATCTTTCTGATTGTGGAGGTAAGTCACCTGTATTATGAGTTAGGCCAAGTGACCTGGGAAGAGCAGAGGAGGCTGCTGGTTCCTGTGGTGGGTTGAGGACAAATACTGACTAGGGGCTCCGGAGCTCTGCTCAGATTTTAAAAATAATGATTAATACAATAAACCGTCCCAGCTGCTTTTATTCTCCTCATTCTCCATGCCCCAATCATACTAGTCTATGCCAAGCTATACTCCTGTACCTATGCACAACGGTGCCTCCGTGGTCCCTCATTTCCTCATGTCTCTAATCATCTCCATTACCCTTTATAGCCCCAATGCAAACTCAGTGCCAACTCACACACTGCAATCACCATCTTTTGCCATTTAATCAGCATGCCAACTCATCTGTTATCCAGCGTATTTTAACACAGGAAGCATCTTGTTAGAATATAATGTTAGCAATCCTTTGAAGATTGATTAAAATAAAACACATACACTCATTGACGCAAAAGAAAATCCATTGAAAATACTCCAACAAATCCCTTATGAAAACATATATTTTACTGAAGTGCTCATTGCTTTTATAAAAAAAACAAACTTTAAACTGTTAACTGCATAATCCCTTCTGTCAACCAACATTTAGATGCAATAAGCTGTTGATAACTAATATGTACATCATTGTGAAAATGATAGTTTGGGAAATCAGTTAGGTAGCACACATCCTATGACAGATTCATGTGGCCAGCTGCTCTCAAATGCCCACCCCCAATAACATCAAACTCAACATCAGCCCAAAAAGAGCAGCACCTTATGTTTCAGTTAACCTTCGGATGTCAACATTGAGCTTTACAATTTCTTATTATAATCACTGTTCCTGGTTTCTGGGACAGTAGGTGCTGGTAATGTTTCCACTGTTATCTTTTGTGCCATCTCTGGGTATACATTGGGCTTCTTTGCTGGCTGCATTACGATTTTTCCAGCTCCATCGTCCATTTTGTCTTTTAATTACTCTTCACTTTCACCCTATTAGACACCTACCCCATTTATTCTATCCTCTCCCCACCCACACCACTGTTGAGTCTCTTCTTGCTGTCTTAGAGCTCATCGACCAAAAATCTTAATCCTTTTATTTTCTTCACGGATCCTGCACGACCTGTCGCAATTCTAGCATTTTTTGCTTTTTAATTCTGATTTCCAGTTTCTTCAGTATTTTGCTAAGGAAATTAATGAATTCTGTTGAAGATTTTACCATCAAACTTTTGAGTTTTGCCAGTCCTGAATCCAGTATATTTCCTTACAGCTTGTGGTGGTATCCTCTATGCAAACAATGGCTCTTTCCATTCACCAAATTGGCCGCAGAATTTTCCTGAAAATAGCGAATGCACTTGGACAATTATAGCCCATGAAAGCAAGCACCTTGAAATTACTTTTGACAAGAATTTCCAGATTCCAGACAGCACCGTTAACTGTGGGACCAGCTATGTTAAGGTTAGTGAATAAAAATCATGTCTTTGTTTATTGGAAGGCGAAGATTCAAAATATCCCTGCTTCTCCCAACCGTCATCAGTGCAAACATCCACCATCTGTTGTAGTAATGAGCTGTGGAGACCCACAAAATCCCTGGTCCTTGACCTGAGTTATTTAGACTCTATTGGCATACCAGTAGTGGTATTTATACTGTCCTCATTATCATAAGGAGAAGTGAGCCTCAAATTTAACTTGGGACTCGTGGCAAGTCTTTTCGTGCAGCGAGGTACCCTTGCCCACTGATGTAAACCTGAGGACATTTAAGCCATAGACTATTGTTTAATTACATCTAGCTTGATTTCAACCTGAGCCTAACAACAATAATGAGGCTAAAGGGCAGAGGTTGTGCCAACATGGCAGGTGGCTCCTTCTTAGAAACTGGGGCTGTACACTGGCAGTCATCTGAATAGAGGAATGAAGCAGAGGGCAGTTGGGGGAGGGAATCTTACATTGGGGAGATTCTGGGTTCCTTGTGAAACTCTGAGATAACTACAATGAAACAACAAAGTATGTAATTGCTCTGCTCCTCTCTCATTCCGGCGCTGCACCTTAGCACTGGGTTATCTTAAGGCACCTAATGAAGGAAAAATAACATTGGTGTTTGATTGATGTCATGAAGCCTTGATGTTTGTATCTTATCAAAGACCTTAAGATGATCAAAATGAACCTAGTAAAATGACACTTGGCACAATGTCAGCACAAAGATGGTGAATGGGAAAAAGTGATAATCTGAACACTGCCCACCCCACTTTCACCTCAACAGAAAGCTAAAATTGGGATGTTTGAGTAGGAGTATTCTTTTAATCTCCACTCAGTACTTCTTGCTGGAATGTACTTTTGTTAATGTCAGATTCGGACACATTTGGCCATGGGTTGACTTCATTATCTCTTCACCATGGTTTGCGAGCACATAGACTTAGAAATTCCTGGAACTGGAGAAAGTGTAAAGCTTTACATGGAACTGTGGAATGCAGAAACTAGTGTTTGTTGGAGATTTTAATCCATTGAAGCTGGACTTTCAATTCTAGCTAGATGCCAATGTCAAATCTCCTGCCAGCTCTGTTTGTCCTTGGGTCATTTCAGAAAATATCCCACAGTGCCAAAGAAATTTCTCCTTTTATGCACTTGAAAGACATCAGCATTTATCATTTATTCTTAATTAATGTGACAGAATGCTGTGATGGAATTGCAGCTCACATTCTCATGGCATATGTGTTGAGAAGGTAAACCAGGAAAACTTGGAAATGACTTTGGACTAATGCCAGTCACTTGCATTTTTACAGGTTTTTCAGCTTATATGATTATGAAAGCAAAAGAGATAACAAGCTTGTATGTATCCTTAGATATCCCATTTCTGATGAAGGGCCTAGGCCCGAAACATCAGCCTTCCTGCTCCTATAATGCTGCTTGGCCTGCTGTGTTCATCCAGCTGTACACCTTGTTATCTAAGCTTGTATGTATATTGTGCATTTAATCATTTCAGGACATCCTAAAGCATTTTACAGCCAAGGAAATACTTCTGAAGCTGTTTTCCATTGTAATATTGTCATTTATGACATTTTCCTGAAGTTCTGGATGCATGCAAGTTGCTGAAGTTTCTGTGGCCAATTAAGAAGGCCCATATGGAAATCCTAACCTTGTGTTGAGTTTTGTCTAAATGATAGTCAAATCCTTTCAATGTAATCACTCAAAACTGTAACAGTTCAGTTGGTACTAAAGATTGCTTGACCACAACCATGTACTTTGTAAATCTAACTGGCCTAACATTATGACTATAAGGTCATTAGAAATAATTAAAATTTGAACTCAGCTCAGATTATCCTTTACGACTGAAACATGACCCACTATAGAATACTTCAGAGGAAACATTGCCTCTGTTACTGAAAGACTGACTTTGAAAGGTTACAGAGAGTCCAGTATTATAAAATCTAAACTGAAGTCTGCAGAACTCTTCATGTGTCTCTCTTTACATCTGTCTTCTCTCACACATATGCATGCAAAAACAATATGAATGTTCATTTGGGAATTCAAAAACTCAAGCCTGGAGTAAGCTCCGCAACTCTAAAACTCATGGCAGAGAATAACCTTATGCCTTGCAAGTGTGAAGTGAATAATGTAGTATCCAGATGTGAAATAAGTTGTGAAATAAAAAGGACTTGAATAAAATGTTAGGTTGCTAGGGGCTTTCAATCACAGTGTTCTGACTTTATTAAGCCCAAAAATACACAAACAGCATTCTTATTAAGCAGATGAATTGTAACTGGATTTGCATTATTTAGAAGTGTGATACATGTGGCCTGAGGCTACTGCACATATGTCTGATCAGCATAAAAGAGATATCAACGATGTGTCACTATGGTCATAGAATCATAGAGTAATACAGCATGGAAATAGGTCCTTCGGCTCAAACTGGTCCATGCTGACCATGGTGCCTACTCATCTAGTTCTAATTGCCTCCATTTGGTCCATATCCCTCTAAACCTTTCCCATCCATGCACCTATCCAAACGATTTTTAAATGTTGCTATTGTATCTGCTTCAACTACTTGCTCTGCCAGCTCATTCCATACACGCACCACTCTGTGTGAAGAAGTTGCCCCTCAGGTCCTTCTTAAATCTTGCCCCTCTCACCTTAAACCTATGCTGTCTAGTTTCCAATTCCCAATCCCTGGGAAAAAGACGATATGCATTCATCCTGTCTATGCCCCTCATGATTTTATACACCTCAATAAGGGCACCCCTCGTTCTCCAACATTCCAAGGATTAAAGTCCTATCCTGGCCAACTTCTCCCTATAACTCTGGCCTACCAGTCCTGGCAACATCCTCATAAATCTTCATTGTACACTTTTCAGTTTAACTATGTCTTTCCTATAACAGGGTGACCAAAATTGTACACAATACTCCAAGTGCGGCCTCACCAATGACTTATACAACTAACATACTAACTCGTATATTCAGTGCCTTGACTGATGAAGGCCAGCATGCCAAATGCCTTCTTCACCACCCTGTCTACCTGTGATGCCGCTTTCAATGAACTATGTACTTGTACTCCTAGGTCCTTCTGTTCCACAACACTCCTCAGGACCTTACCAACTATTGTATAAGTCCTACCTTGGTTTGACTTTGCAAAGTGCAATACCTCACACTTATCTGTATTGAATTGCATTTGCCAATCCTCAGCCGCTTCCCCATATGATCAAGATCCCTTTGTAATTTTTGATAACCTTCCTTGCTATCAGTGATATGTCCCAATTTTTTACCATCCACAAACTTACTAAACATGCCTTGTACATTCACATGTAGATCATTTATGTCAATTACAAATAACAAAGGACCTAGCACCTACCCTTGTATCAAACCACTAGTCACATGCCTCCAGTCCGAGAAACAAACTTCAACCATCACCCTCTGCTTCCTACAATTGATTCAGTTTTGAATCCAGTTGGCTAGCTCTCCCTGGATCCCATGCGACCTAACCTTCATGACAAGCCTGACATGTGGGACCCTGCCAAAGGCCTTACTGAAGTCCATATAGACAACATCTACTGCCCTACCCTCATCTATCCTCTTGGTTACATCTTCGAAAAACTCTAAAAGATTTGTCAGACATGACTTCCCACGCACAAATTGATGCTGACTATCCCTAATCAGACTTTGACTATCCAAATATTGGTTGGTCTTGTCCCTCAGTATCCTCTCCAATAACTTGCCTACCACTGATGTCAGTCTCACTGGCCTATAGTTCCCTGGTTTGTCTTTGCTATCTTTCCTAAGCAATGGAACAACATTAGCCACCCTCCAGTCTTCCGAAATTTTACCAGTGGAACAAAAACCTCTGCAAGGCCTTCTGCAATTTCTTCCCTAGACACGTTTGAGGATGGACTTGATCAGGCCTAGGGGATTTATCCATCTAAATGTGATCTGAGGCTGCAGACAGCTCCTCAGTGGTAATATATGTGTGGTCCAAAACATTCCCACTTGTTTCCCTTATATCCTTAGCATCCATGATTCTCTCCTCAGTAAACACTGAGGAGAAGTATTCATTAAAAATCTCCCCCATCTTCTATGGCTCCATACATAGATGACCATGCTGATTTTTAAGGGCACCTGTTCCCTGCCTAGCCACTCTTTTACTCTTAATATAGTTATAGAACCTCTTGGGAATATCTTTAACCTTATTTGCCAGATCCATCTCATACCCTCCTTTTGCTCTTCTGATTTACCTCTTAAGTGTGCTCCTACATTTTTTATAGTCATCTAGGGATTCACATGAGCCCAATAGCTTAAACCCAATGTATGCCTTCTTCTTTTTCCTGACCAGAGCCTCAATATCCCTCATCAGCCAGGGATCCCTAAACCTGCCAACTTTTCCCTTCACCCTAACGGGGACATACTGTCCCTGGACTCTTGATATCACACTTTTATAAGCCTCCCATTTACCGGTCATTCCTTTTCCTTCAAACAAACTCACCCAGTTGACCTCTGCTAGATCCTGCCTAATGGCCCCAAAATTGGCCCTGCTCCAGTTTAGCACCTTAACCTGTGGACCTGTCCTATCTTTTTCCATAACTATGTGAAAACTAAGAGTTATGGTCACTGGACCCAAAGTGCTCTCCAACTGACTCTTCAGTCACTTGCCCGACCTCATTTCCTAAGGAGGTCCAGTGTTGCACCCTCCCCTGTAGGGCCCTCTACATATTGATTTAAGAAACTTTCTTGGACACCTTTGATAAATTCCACTCCATCCGAGCCTTTTACAGTCTGGGTGGCCCAGTCAATACAGGGGAAATTAAAATCTCCAACCACTACTACTGTGTTATTCCTACAGGTATCTGCAATTTCTCTACGCATCTGCTCCTCTAGTACCTGCTGACTATTTGGGGTCTATAACACAGTCCCAACAGAGTAACCATCCCCTTTTTGTTTCTATGTTCTAACTATTTGGCCTCATTTGATGACTCCTTAAGAATATCCTCTCTAAGCATTGTTGTTATGTCCTCTCTTATCAAAAGGGCAATTCCCCCTCCTCACTTACTTGTACTTCTGTCACACCTGTAGCTTCTGTATCCCGGAACATTGAGCTACCAGTCCTGCCCTTCTCTCAACCATGTTTCTGTTATGGCTATAATATCCCAGTCCCCAGAGCCAATCCATGCTCTGAGCTCATCTGCCTTACTAGTCAGGCCTCATACGTTAAAATAAATGCTTTTTAAACCAGAAGTCTTTTCCCTCCCTTTACTGTGCCCCTGGCTATCCTGAATAGTCCATTTCACTGTTTATTTAACTTATACCTATTCTTGCACTAACCTTGACAATGAAAACATGTGTTAAAATTTTCTTAAAATAATTTTAACAATCGTGGTGACATAACCACAACTTAAACTAGATGAACTATAATTACAGCACAGAGGGATTTAACAGTCCATGTGCATAAATCACAAAAAGCTAGCATTCAAGTACAGCAGGTAACAGGGAAGGCAAATGGAATGTTGGCCTTTATTTCAAAGGTGTTGGACTATAAAATGGGGAGGTTTTGCTAAAAGTGCACGGGGCACTAGTCAGACCACAGCTGGAATACTGTGAACAGTTTTGGATCCCTTATCAAAGGAAAGATACATTGGAGGCAGATCAGAGAAGGTTCAGTAGGCTGATCCTGGACATGAAAAGACTGACTATGAGGAGAGGTTGAGTAGGTATTCATTGGAGTTTAGGAGAATGAGAGCGGACATTATTTAAATGCACACAATTCCTAGGAAACTTGACAGGATAGATGTAGAAAGGTTGTTTCATCTTGTCAAGAGAGTCTAGGACCAGAGGGCATCACCTCAGAATAAGGGGTTGCCAAAGATAAAAGCGAGGAGGAATGCCTTCTCTCAGAAGGTAGTGAATAAGGAATTTTTTACCTTAGAGGACTGTGAGGCTGGGTCATTAAATATATTCAAGGCTGAGATAGACAGATTTTCAATCAATACGGGAATTCAGGGTTATGGGGATAGGCCAGGAAAGTGGAGTTGAAGGCTAACAGATGGCAGAGCAGACATGATGACTGAATAGCTTACTTCTGCTCCTGTATCTTATGGTCTCTTGGCAAACAATCAGTGCCCCATGAAAGTTTGGAACCAAAGACCTCCCGCACCCTGGTTATACTCTCTTACCTGCTGTTATCAGACATATGAACAGACACCTCACATGTTGGAGTTGATCCATCTCTGCACCTTCCCTGTAGCTGTAACACTATATTCTGCTTTCTCTTCTATTACCCTGATGTATTTATGTAAAGTATGATTGGTCTGGTTCGCACGCAAAACAATACTTTTCACTGTATCTTGGTACATGTGACAATAATAAAACAAATCAAATCATCTGCCTTCTTTCAGTCTTCCTTTGTCTTATTCCTGTTATAATGTTTAAAGTTAAATAGCATCAACTATCAATTGTACACTTTAAGCATGGAATCAAGTCATACAATCATACAGAAACAGACCCCTCGGTCAAACTTGTCCATGCCAACCAAGTTTCCTAAACTAAATTAGTCCCATTTGCCTATGTTTGGCCCATATCCCTCTAAATCTTTCCTATTCATGCACTTGTCCAAATGTCTTTTAAATGTTGTAACTGTACCCGCATCTACCACGTCCTCTGGCAGTTTATTCCATATGCACACACCACCCTCTGTGTGAAAAAGTTGCCTCTCTGAACACATTTAAATCTTTCCCCTTTCACCTTAAAACTATGTCCTTTCCTTTTGACCTCCCCAACCCTGGGGAAAAGACCTTTTCTATTCACCTTATCTATGCCCCTCATGACTTTATAATAGTTCACCTCTCAGCCTCCTTTGTTCCAGTGAAAATAAAGGCCCAGCCTATTCAACCTGTCCTTCTAACTCAAACCTCCAGTCCTGGTGCCATCCTTGCAAATCTTTTCTGCACCCTCTCCAATTTAATAATATTCTTCCTATAGCAGGGCAACCCCAGAACTATACACAGTATTGCAAAAGTAGCCTCACCAATGTCCTGTAAAGCTGCGGGATGACTTCCCAACTCCTAAATGTTTAAGACAGTGTAATTTTATAAGGTTCATGTAACAAATTCTATATTGACAAAATTTCATTCAAAAACTGAAAAAAAAGGTATAGGTCTTAGAAAGGAGAAATTTCCAAATCATTGAAAATCACTATGGAATATCAGAAATAGTGAACGGCTATTATGTCCTACTTTAACAAAAAGAGTGACTAGATAGAGCCTTGATTTTTGTTCCCAGTGGAATGCACAGAGACAGGATGTTTCCAAGCTCTGCAAACCCAAACTACAGAAAAATGTCCTGGAAAGACAGGTTTTTATTACTGGTTGATGTAGTCCCTTGAAAGGTGGAATAGGCGGAGGCTGCTGAATGTGTGCAAGGCCTGGCTCCATGAACTGGCGCTGCATTGCAGTTTAATAAAAAGAAGAGTGAAACCAAAATGATCTCATGTCCCCTACCTCCCATGTATGGCCCCATGCCCTATCCATGCCAACTCCATGCCACCCAATGACCCTCAACACCCTCATGGTCCCTTATACCCTATTGTGAACCAGTAGCCTTGTACCCACCTCTCCAGTCCTTTATCGCCTTATGTCAATTTTGTGTCAATATATGCCCCACCCACTGCCATTCTTTTTGCATTGATTGATTTTTTTTGTGCATTGTTTTGAAAATACCAGACCAAAATATTTTGTCAACTTTTTTTTTAACTGAGTGTCTTAGTTTAAATTGTATTCTTAAAATGTCATGTTCTAGATGAAGGCAGTATATTCTAGATGAAGGTAATAATGGAAATGTTGGCTAGTAAGATTGATGATCTATTGAGCCTTAGCTGTTGGCCCTTCATGTCAGCAAATCTCAAAAGCAAAGTCTGCGAATTTTCATCCATGTTGGATGATCGTAGTCAGCATGACACATTTACCTGATATATATGCAGGTGAAATTGCCTGTTAGCAGTGCATACATAGAAAATCAGTTACTCTTTAAAAGTGCAATGTTTCCTCAATATGCAGATGACTGATTGCAATATGTCTGTGTAATTCAATCAAGGAGGCTGGTCTGTAGGTGAAATTGAATTAGGGTTCTTTTTTAACAAGTGTAAATGCAATGCCATAAATACAGGCAATGTTCACAAAACAACAGAGGCTAGCATTGTCACACCAATTAGTTATAAATTGTAAAGATAGAATATTGTTCAAATAGATTACCTCTGTCATGCTGCCTGATCTCCAAAGCTAGGTCTGTTTTCACAGTGTTTCATGGATATTAAAAAAACAATCGCATTTCATGCGTCAGCACTTCAGTTATATAACTGGCCATGGGAACAGGATCTTACTGCACTGACATAAACTTACATAGTTCATGGAGACATTAAATTTTGTTTGATTTCTTGAGGGCTAAATTTTAATCTGAAGCTCTGCAAGGAAGGTTTCTTTTAACCTGACGTGAACTTGTTCCAGGTTTAAGTTTAGGAACTCATTTTAACACTTCTCATTTTTACAGCCCACCACCAAATTACTGTGGTTGTTTAACTTGTTACAAGAAATGTTTTGCGTGGCTGACATCCATATTCTGATGTGTTGTTAGACATACTGGAATTTCTGCATGTGATTTGGTCTCAATAAGAAGTTCATTATTTTTCCTGCCATGCTGTTCCAGTTTATAATGTCAGTAGATAATGCTGTGAATTATAGGGAGTGAAGGCCTGCTTACGGAAACAGACTTTTTCTGTTGCACACAAAGATAGATCTGTAGTGAATGTGAAATGGAACTGTAAAAGAATAACACATTTATAAACAAAAATTAGTGCACAAATATCAGTTAAAGACTTACATAAGGAGAATAACTTGATTTAAAATTTGGACATTTTGCTTTTTTTGCTTTGGAGTTCAGGGAGACATTCAGCACTTTTCTATTTTAGACATTCTCTCTCAGATACCCAGCTGCTTGTGAATAATCCACAACAGAGTAAATTATTGTTTCCTTTGATTAAAGTTAGCTTTGTGAACTAAAATGTTTTGTCTCACTCCATACTTGTCTAATTTTCTTAAGGAAAATGCTTCATTTTTTCTCTTCTTTCTTCATTTGGATTTATATTTAGCAGCTCAATTATAGAGTCATAGTGTCACAGAGATGTACAGCATGGAAACAGGTCCAACTCGTCCTTGCCAACCAGATATCGTAAATTAATCTAGTCCGATTTGCCATCATTTGGCCCATATCCCTCTAAACCTTTCCTATTCATTTCCCCATCCAGATGCCTTTTATATGTTCTAATTGTACCCGCCTCCATCATTTCCTCTGGCAGCTCATTCCATACACGCACCGCCCTCTGCATGAAAAGGTTGCCCCTCAGGTACCTTTTAAATCTTTCCCTTCTCACCGTAAAACTATGCCCTCTAGTTTTGGACTCCCCTACCCTGGGAAAAAGACATTTACTATTCACCCTATCCATGGCCATCATAAACCTCTATAAGTTCACCCCTCCACCTCCGATGCTCCACGGAAAATAGCCCCAGTGTATTCAACCATTCCCTGTAGCTCAAACTCTCCAACCCCATTGTACCATTATAATGAAGACCTTTCCTATGTGACCCCCTCACCATTGGCAATGGATCAGTTGTAATAGGAAAATCAGTGTCACTTCTATCAGGCCAAAGTTTACAGGGATCTTTGCTTTTACATGGCATTGCCTAAGTAAAATTATTAAAACGATTTTAAAATATTTGTATCCACATAGTTATTGAACTTTCGCTTCTACAGGTCTGGGGAGGAACTGCTGAAACTGCTGAAACCTTGTTGGCTACTCTTTGTGGAAGTGCTGCTCCAGGGCTTGTCATATCACCAGCTAATATTGTGACAGTTCGGTTTCAGTCTAAAGGCAGCGTGGGAAGTGGTTTCTCAGCATCTTTCACCGACCGTATGCCTTTTTTTTAAAATTGGGAAATATTTATTAAAAGTGTACTGTGTATAGATTTTAGCATTGGAATTAATTTCTAGTTACTTACAGAACACCACATGTTTTGGGTATTATTCGTTCTTCTTTTTTGATAAAATCAAGATCTAGTTATCAGATCTAGTATATTGACTAATAGTTTGCATTTAGCAGCATGTAAAAGGAGTACCCATGTATAGTGATTGTAATCAGATGGATCATATTGACTATGAGATCCTTGATTGGGCCTGTTAAACTGGGCCAATCAGGGAGTCCTGGCTAACTGATATAAACAGGAGATTCAGAGTCCCCTTACCTAGGGGACTGAGTCCGAGCTGGCTGGCCGCAGTCAGTGTACTGTGCACATCAAAATAAAGGGTGATTTGGTGACAGGATACTGGCCTCTGTGCAGTTATTTCACCATGTGAGAACTATAGAATGATTTGCTACACAGAAGGAGGCCATCTGTGTATGAGCTTGCCCCACAATCCTGCCCTTTCCCCATTGCCCTGTTTCTTTTCTCTTTCTCTTTCTCTGAATACAATTGTTGATTTGATTTTCTGTCTTATTCCCTTGTCACCAGCACTTAACATCAGTTAGCTTGTGTTGGAGTGCGCGGTGTTGGGGGAGGAGAACAGTGAGTAGCGTTCATGCACCTCCACACAGAGTAGAGATTTTTGGAAAGAGAGGGAGCCATCAGGCTTTTCTCGAGAGCAATGTTGTTGCAGCCAAGTGATCTGGCAACTATCCCCCATTAACCCGTCACCACCAGTCATCTTCAGGGTGATATGCTGCATAGAAATATCAATGACTGATTTATGATAGCACAAAAATACAGCTGAAAATAAAATATTAGGGAATATTACTCTTTTAACCAATGCAATGTACAAATTTTATCTCAACACAAGGGCTGAAATTAATATATGCCAATGAATTATATGACAGCAAGTCTTTTAATCTTTTCAGGATGTGGAGCAAATTTTACGGCTTCTTCTGGCCGAATTATATCACCGAACTACCCTGACAATTATGACTCAAACTTGAACTGCGAGTACCTCATCAATATATCCGATCAGCGACTTATAATCTTACAATTTGAGTTTTTCGATGTAGAAGGTACGAATCAGTTATTTAGTGATTGTACTAAGACGGAAAATGTAATAGATGGGAGAGTCATCAGCCTGTGTACACATTTATGCCACTTGCTGCCTTTATCCTGCTCAAAAGATAACATCATTTCTCATTTGTTCGTTGCAACTATCTCAAGAGTTTCATAATTTTCATGGTGACTGCCACTAGTGGGCTACAAAAGGAAACCTTCTGTTTCAAATGTTTCAACAAGGCAATCAGAGATAAAATCTGAATCTGGACATTTTAACACTTCTTACACTTTTGGAAGTTAGGCCGTGTGATAGGAAACAGAGAGTAACATTCTGAGGAAGGGTCACCGGACCCGAAACATTAACTCTGCTTTTTCTTTCACAGATGCTGCCAGACCTGCTGAGCATTTCCAGCAATTTCTGTTTTGTTTCCTGATTTACAGCATCCACAATTCTTTAGTTTTTTATTTGAGAGTAACGCTTAATAGGTAACTTTAGATCTAGAACAAGTTTTTTTTAGTGGCGTTCTCCAGGGATCAGTAATGGGACCCTTGCTTTTCCTACATATAAATGATCTGGATCTTGGTGTGCAAGGGTCAATTTTAAAGATTGTGGACCACATAAAAGTTGAAAGAATGATACATGTGAGAAGTGTAGAGTTTCAAAAGACATTAGCAGGTAAGTGGAGGGGCTGGTGAAGGTGGCAGTTGAAGTTCGCTGTGGAGACATGTGAAGCTCTTGTACAAAAAATGTGCAGAGACCGTGTAAAATAAGGCATACCATTCTCAAAGGCATGCAAGATCAGAGATACCTGGGTGTATGTGCATAAATCATTAAAAGTGTCAGAACAGATAGAGAGAGTTATTAATAAAGCGTGCAGTATTCGAGGCTGCATTAACAGTGGCATAAAGTACAATAGCAGGGAGTTCATACTGAACCTTATGCTGAACCGGTTAGAACATAGAACAGTACAGCACAGTACAGGCCCTTTGGCCCACAATGTTGTGTCGACCTATTATCCCACTAAGATCAAACTACCCTGCATACCCTACGTTTTATTATCCTCCATGTGCCAATCCAAGAGTCGCTTAAAATTCTCTAAAGTATCTGACACCACTACCACTGCCGGCAGCGCATTCCACACGCTCACCACTCTCTGTGTGAAGAACCTACCTCTGACATCTCCCCTATACCTTCCTCCAATCACCTTAAAGTTATGCCCCCTTGTAATAGTCACTTCTGCCTTGGGAAAAAGTCTCTGACTATCCACTCTATCTATGCCTCTCATCATCCTGTACACCTCTGTCAAGTCACCTCTCATTCTTCTTCGCTCCAATGAAAAAAAGCCCTAGCTCCTCAACCTTTCCTCATAAGACCTGCCCTCCAGTCCAGGCAGCATCCTGGTAAATCTCCTCTGCACCCTGTCTAAAGCTTCCACATCTTTCCTATAATGAGGTGACCAGAACTGAACACAATATTCCAAGTGTGGTCTAACCAGAGTTTTATAGAGCTGCAGCATAACCTGACGGCTCTTAAACTCAATTCCCTGCCAATGAAAGCCAAACACCATATGCCTTCTTTACAACCCTATCAACTTGGGTAGCAACTTTGAGGGATCTATGGACGTGGACCCCAAGATCCCTCTATTCCTCTGTTCCTCCACACTGCCGAGAATCCTGCCATTAACCTGTATTCTGCATTCAAATTCGACCTTCCAAAATAAATCACTTCACACTTTTCTGGGTTGAATTCCATCTGCCACTTCTTTGCCCAGCTCTGCATCCTGCCAATGTCCCGTTACAACCTACAGTAGCCCTCCACACTATCCACAACTCCACCAACCTTCGTGTCATCGGCAAGCTTACTAACACATCCTTCCACTTCCTCATCCAAGTCATTCATAAAGATGACAAAGAGCAGAGGTCCCAGAACCGATCCCTGCGGAACACCACTGGTCACCGAGCTCCAGGCTGAATACTTTCCATCTACTACCACCCTCTGTCTTCTTTTGGACAGCCAGTTTTGTATCCAGACAGCCAAATTCCCTGAATCCCATGCCTCCTTACTTTCTGAATTAACCTACCATGTGGAACCTTATCAAATGCCTTGCTAAAAGCCATATACACCACACCCACTGCTCTACCTTCATCAATGTGTTTTGTCTCAGGTTTCAGCTGGAATTTTGAGTGCAGTTATGGGTGCCACATTATAGGAAGGATGCAAGTGCAAAGGAGGCATACAGGAATTGTTCCAGGGATAAGACACCTCAGCTATAGGGATAGATTGAAGAAATTGAGATTGTTTTCCTTGAACAGAAGAAGGCTGAAGGGAGATTTAATAGAAGTTTTCAAAATCATGAGAGCTTTGAAGGGAGTGGATTGGAAGAAACTGTTCCTGATTGGAAAATATATTGTAATTAGGCTAAAACTTAGCAATAAAGCATTATGGAAAAAGATCATTTGAGCTCAGTGAGGTGCCTGATAAATTTAATATCTTTTACAAAAATGGTTTGATTTCTATCATTATTGAATTAAACCTGTACTAGAAACTGTTGGCACCTTAAGATGGTCATGAGCAATTTACAAACTTGTTATAAGATAATATTCTGATTGATATTCCTTAATATTCCATTCAAATACTTTCATCCCATAATTGCCCAGGTCCTTTTTATCCTATTGTAATAAAATCAAATAAAATGTTCAGGATTTTGATATTATTTATTTCAATGACAGAAGACAAGGTGGAGTTCACAAATTTCTGCAGTATAAGAGCATTAGAAATGAGAGGTGTTTCTGTTCTGAAAATAACTAGATATTGTTAATATAAGTTATCAAAGTTTTGATGCACTATCGGACCACATATGACATTATCTGAGAATGTACAGTAGTTTTACTTTTGTGTGATATGAATATCTCATGCACTATTGAGTTATGTGACTCACCAATTTAACCAGGCATTAACTAAGTCACGATTGTGATGTAACTATAATAGCTTAGATAAAATACTCCACAACAGAAAACTACTTTAACCTCTTTAATTAAGCTATATTGGTAGCTGGTGCAGCAACATCTCAAATTTAAAATGTTAAACTTTTCATTCAAATTTCTCCCTGGTCTCATATTTTCCCTATCTCAGTAACCTCAGTAGTCATACAGCCTTCCAAAAATTGACCTCTTCTGCATTTTCCAGTTCCTCTGGGGGAATACATATTGGATTGTCTGTCTTTTGTACGTTTGTTCATGTGCCTTTCAGGAGGTAGAAACACTTCATTGAGACAAGCTGATGCAAATAGCTTCAAGTTACACTTACAAGTAAACAAGAAATCTCTAACTAATTTTCCTTCAAATAAAGAAGGGAGAGTGCTAAGCCACATATATTGTCACTGATGCAGACCCTTCCAAAAAAAGAGTTAACATGAGCTACCAATTTTAGCCCAGCTAAAGTGTTATGTGCCAATATGATAGAAATTTTTCCCAGGCAATATGAGTGATTTTGGATTGGCTGCCCATCACACCAGTGCATAATATTTAAACTATTTGACAGAGTAGAACTGAATTTTGGGTGTTGCACAGACACACAATCTTAAATGGTCAGTTTTACACCTGTGCCTGAAATAAAATTTCTGCCCCAAATACATTAAACGTTTGAAGCAGAATAGATCCTTTTCCTAACCATCTCACAGTTACATTAAGCATCAATATTCTAAAGACACGAGAGGATCACATCAATTTGTATAAAATCTATTTCTTTAGGTGAGTTTTATGTTTCAACATACAATACCAACTTTGGAAAATTATCATCTGCTAAAAATGTATACCAGAATATCACAGCCACAGTGTAAGTCCTCCTTAATTATTATTCTCTAGTTTTAATGGATGAAAAAAAGAGTGCTTGCCCCCTGCAGTATCCTGGTCTAAATTCTCAGCAGGCATGGTGCCATGGCAGGAGCATGCCTTTGTTAAACTAGAAGAAATTCAAAAGCCTAATATCTGACTGAGATCTGTTCGTAAAATCCTGAAAATGATGGGAATGTTTTCCCACCGATTACCACTATTACTAGGGTCACTGCAATCTTTGCCATCGCTGACAAGCTGCCTGAACAATCACCTAAAATGCAAATTGAGGTTGTATGTTGTAGGTATGCATCCATGTTCCATTTTGGAAAAATACAAGGGTGGACGAGTAGCGGAGGGAGGAGCATGTATGATGAATGCTTTGCCCATTAGAAGGCAATTATGCAACCAACTAGGAAGTTACAGGGGACTTTTACGACATTTTTGTGCTGGCCTGCATCTATAGGTGCCACAAATCTGCAATGTACCATTATTCCTGTGACTTGCACTCCCCTGACATCTTGGGCATTGTATCCTATTCTTCTTGGAGATGCATTTTTCAGGCCAAGAGTCAATAGGCTGACCTGGAACACTCATTCCTGGCTGTCAGCCAAATGCTGATCAGGCTTGACCCTCCAAAGAACTGAGTGTGTTGGCTGAGCAGCCTGTGGATACAGATGGCTGGGTAGCTGAAGTCCACAATGGAAGAAAATCCACCCCATTGTCAACTCCCTTATAGATGTCACAACAGTTTGTAAAATTATAAAGAGACATCTGAAAGCTTACTGTACATGCACACTGATGTCACTTCAGAGAAGATAAAGAACCAGCTGAGACATGGCAAGATTCACATCATCAACGCAGTTTTCTTTTTATTCCTGAGTTGAAAGTCAGACAATCTAAAGCGCCCATCTGAAACTCTGCAAAATAGATTACATTGTAGGCTATTCAATTGAGAAATGGGCATAAAATTGAATATTGCATTGGAACAATACAGGAAGGACAGCTGTGAATTGTTTTAAAGGCTTGCTCAGTACTAATAAAGCCTGGTACTTTGCTGGGCCTTCATAAAAGACTTCAAGTTCATTATTGTCTATCATAATCAGGATTCCAGAATTCTGTAGCCAAACCAGCTGTGAATTAAACTCAGACGCTGAATGTACAGCTTGTTGGCCAAAACCTC